AGACAATGTTCTCGGTTTCCGGCTTGGTAGATTCATCGAATAATGTAATGCGTGATCGCTACTTTAAATCATGTTTGGTCAAAGATAGCGAAATAAAAATGCTATTTAAATATGAACGCTATGATCACAATAACCGCGAGAGCGATATCTCATCCGACTAAGAACTATCGACTAATTAGTCGATAGTACGTTGCGATTATTCCCTAGGTAGTCGATACTTTAAATTAGTCGATAGTGCCCATCACTAGTTGAAAGCACCAGACAGCACGTTAGTTTACATTATGGTGGCTTGATAACTGTCAACGTCAATCAATCAGAATAATAATGTCTAATAAGGTGATGTTCCGTTGTATTAAAACGAAAATTTCATTAGAATATTCTGTTTTCAACCAACTATCTTTATGCGTATACCATCGACCGCGCATCGTGCTTAAATTATCATTATGTAATGATTTGTGGTCATTATAAATTTACAAACTTTACGTTAGACCAAATGTTACCTTTCAACCTCGAATTTATCGACGTTTCTTTAGATAACATGCGATAGACACAGAAGTGCAGTAACATAAATAGATTTATTTGAGTAATATAAAGAAAATTTTCATTTCAGGGAGCAATTAAAAAGGTCTCAGCCAGCAGAGATGGTTCGACAAATCACAAATTGAAATCAAAAAGTTCTTTACTTGGTAAAGAAGCCGATGACTCAGAGAAAGTAGACATAAGAATGATGCGAATGTCTCAGACGTTAGAAAAACGGAGAGAAAGCACTCAATCGAAATCTACACCAAGTATACAGTCAAATAAAAGTAGTATAAAACATTCAGTCAGAACCACTAAAAGTAATCCTATTAAAGAAAATACTCAAACAATGGCAAAATCAAATACCAATAATCCCAAGATGTTAACATCTAAAATATCGACTGATGCTATAAAAAAATTGAATAATAACAATGCTGTAAAAAGCAGTAAAAGCAGTGGTACAAGAATGCAGAGTGGTTATTCAGAAAAAAGAGGACAGAGTACAGTATATATACCACAATCAATGACAAGTAAACTAAATGCTAAACTGTCCAGTAAAAATGTTGCTTCGGTATCAAAAAGCGAAGAGCAAATAAGGAGACGTTCAAACGATACTGAATCAAAACCAAAGTCTAGGCAACGTAAATTATCGAGGACGTTAAGTCCAAGCGAAGTAAAAATGCTACATTCTGCTATAAATGGACCAGATTCTTTGCAGAAGGTAGACCAGAGCAAAAAGAAACAAGCACAAGAAGAGATAAGTGATGAATATGATTATGAAGATGATTTTGAGGTGAGAAATATACATATAATTTACGTATCTAACTAATAGATTCTTATGCAAAATAAATTTGTGAAATTATGAACGAAAAAATAGCTCGTATATATAATTCTTGCATTCTTCATATTTTCTGCACATTAACTTTTTCTATAATACATAAAATTCGTACCAATTAATCTTCATGACAATTATTCTGCAGGACTACGAGTCTGATTTTCAAGAATGCACCGACAGTGAAGAGTCAGAAGTCTCTGAAGAAACAAACGACAATCAGAACAATTTGCCATTAGATCCAATCGAATTAAATACTGCAAAACAAGTACTAATATCTTATAATAGGATAATAAGAAATATTAATATTTCTATTATAGAATTTTTTACTTTCTTACAGCGTAAAATTGTGAACAGCATTGAACAGAAGGAGGAAGAGCACATGCATGATTCTGGTCATTATGAGCTCACTGAAGCCAGAAGGAGAGCAGCGAGAATAGAGTCAATTGCAAATGATCCAAAGCTTTCCTCCCTTCTCGAAATTAGACAACCGATTAATAAATCGTATAGGTTTGTTCTGAATAAAATCAAATTCCAAGATGACTGAATTATAAAACGTGTATTGTTATCTCATTGAATAATTATATGTTTATTAAATAATTACTGAAGTAGTGTTCATTTTAATTGTTAACGTAAAAGTGTGTATACATTTTGTGCCGTAGCGAGGATAAATCGGAAAATAAGTCTTTGCCGTTGTCTACCGATGAAGGATTCGAAGATAGTCGTTCTGGTGATTTTACCAAATCACCGCCACTCTCGCAAATTTCGTTTATCGATTTTCGTAAAACCAAAGAGGAGGAACCGAAACCAAAGGTATTAAATTAATTAGCGTATATTTAATTATAAAACAAATCAAATACATGTGGATAATTATACTTACTGTTGTTCTCAGAAAAAGAATTTGAGCAGGGGCGAAGTACTATTAGGAATGATAAAGCTAGACGTAATGGAATGGTCACTTCTTGAATGTTCGCCTATACCGTACGAAGAATTCATTAGAAATTATGGAAGATTAAATACTCAACAAGTGCGTCACCGAATTATTTCATAATAATATTTAAATTTCATTGATTTCCAAATTAATACTTTTGATTTTCAGATGTCCACGCAAACTGGCGAGGATAACATTGATCTCGAAACGCAAACGGAAAAAATTGAACTAGAGAACAAATGGACACAGTTTCCAGTAACTTGTAGGAATAATCTTCGAACTAAAGAAGATTTAGATTTATTTCGTTTGGTACGTGAACTTGCTAAAAGACAGTATTACAATCTTTAAATGAGCAAACAAACCACACCTTTTAAACTGCTACACCAAATATTTTAATTCGCAATTTAATAATAACAAATATTTGGGGAACGTAACAATTTTCAGGATCAAATTGGAGTTGGCAGCGATTACGATCCGAAGTCTATGAAGTCCTTACCACCGTTATCTTTCGATATACTGCGACTGAACGATTTCATGAGTCGCGCAGGGAGAGTAATGTTATCCTTGTTGGAAGAGAGACGATCTGGTGGTAATGTGTTTAAAAATGAAGAAGAAATACCATTCAGTGACGGTGTTGTAAAACTTTCTGTAAATTCAGTTACCTTTTTGGCTGGTAGACCTGTGACCATAATACATTATTCAAAGGTCTTAAATAAAATCCTACTAACTATTCATTCTCCCGTCGAAGAGGTAAGGATTACTCATTGAAAGATTTACACACACTAGATTCTAAGAAGAATATATTATATCCATGCAAACAGGAAATCGAGACATCTAGCAAACAGGATTATATAACCGACTGTTGCATTGGATGCGTATGGAACATTTCTGAACCATATTGATTTTCAGATGTCCACGCAAACTGGCGAGGATAACATTGATCTCGAAACGCAAACGGAAAAAATTGAACTAGAGAACAAATGGACACAGTTTCCAGTAACTTGTAGGAATAATCTTCGAACTAAAGAAGATTTAGATTTATTTCGTTTGGTACGTGAACTTGCTAAAAGACAGTATTACAATCTTTAAATGAGCAAACAAACCACACCTTTTAAACTGCTACACCAAATATTTTAATTCGCAATTTAATAATAACAAATATTTGGGGAACGTAACAATTTTCAGGATCAAATTGGAGTTGGCAGCGATTACGATCCGAAGTCTATGAAGTCCTTACCACCGTTATCTTTCGATATACTGCGACTGAACGATTTCATGAGTCGCGCAGGGAGAGTAATGTTATCCTTGTTGGAAGAGAGACGATCTGGTGGTAATGTGTTTAAAAATGAAGAAGAAATACCATTCAGTGACGGTGTTGTAAAACTTTCTGTAAATTCAGTTACCTTTTTGGCTGGTAGACCTGTGACCATAATACATTATTCAAAGGTCTTAAATAAAATCCTACTAACTATTCATTCTCCCGTCGAAGAGGTAAGGATTACTCATTGAAAGATTTACACACACTAGATTCTAAGAAGAATATATTATATCCATGCAAACAGGAAATCGAGACATCTAGCAAACAGGATTATATAACCGACTGTTGCATTGGATGCGTATGGAACATTTCTGAACCATCGATGCCAGTCAAATTATTTTATTCTGCTTGTCCTATAACTGCGTGCTGTTTCCATTTGACAAACTATAATGTAGTATTTGCTGGTCTCCAAGATGGGTATGTTATTTACTTCTATTTCATATAAAGTGAAGTACGAATATTTATGGATATCAATATAGATGCGTTATGAGTATATTAATAAATTTTTCAAATAACAGATCGATAAGTCTGTGGGATTTAAAGGAGGACGAAATGTGGCATCACAAAGTTACCGATAAAGCCAATGAATTAGATTGGACAATTCGGATGCCTACGTACACGACTGCGGCGAATATAAAAACTGATGCCTCGCAAATTGTTGCGATACGCGTAATATCAAAAATTGAAGAGAAATCTTTAGAGCAACGTAACAATAAATTTGTACCACTTCAGGTTTGTCAAACTCTCACCCTGTTTTATACGTTACCATTTGTGCTTTATTAATACCTTTGTGTAAATTGTAACAATAGATATGTAGCTTAAGTGAAAATGGTTTTCTTAATATATGGAGCGTTTTGCATAATGTGGGCAAGAGTGTCGATGATTTAGGACTGTCGTTCTGGGGTAACATAAGACTTGTCAAAAGTCAAGAATTAATTTGTCAATCGAGTAATCGGAAAAAGTAAATATTTTATAATAATCTGCATACTGTACATGACACATTAGGTTGATTAACATTATTTAACTGTTCGTAAGGTTGAATGCAGCTACCTTTATTGATATGCATGTGGATTGTGTTGATAGTAATAATCTTTACGTTGCCACTAACAGTAGCGATATTTTGCATGCTACTTGTATCGGTAACAAAGCTAATCCTGCTGTGTATACAAAGTCGGATACTAGTAAGTTATCAGTCGACGATTCGATTTTAATTCGTTCATTATCAATTCTCTACGTTTGCTATTTCAGATCCTTGTGGAAACGTGACTTGTATAGAAACATGCCCGTTTCAACATCCGTTCTTCATGGTAAAACCTTTTTACAGATTCACCTGTCACCTATATATTGCTATTTTTAAAGCACTTTCTATTACAGGTCAGCTGCGACGATGGAACAATTCGACTGCATTCTTTAAGCATTGAGAAACCGCTATTACAGTTAAAGGACGAAGATAATACGTGCACGATTAAATCGATACAATGGTCAAGATCGAAACCATTTACATGTTTCGTACTAGACGATAATTCATGGTAGGAAAATCCTTATCGAAATTAGCATCGTCTTGAATAGTTTAAATATTCTCTACATTAATATTTCAGCATACAAGTTTGGGATTTCAGTAACAACGACATACATCCAATGTGCAAAATTAATTTGCAAAAAAGCGGTCGCATAAAATGTATGCAGTTATCATCTTGCAAAACTGAAAAAGATATGTCTCATCAATATTTGGTATGTTATTCTTTGTATCTACAATAATCTATAAAGATGTAAATAATTGCTCATTTTTAGGCATTCGGTACGGAATCCGGATACGTAGAGGTGCACAGATTAAGAACTGATTTCTGTTACTCCAAGAAGGAAGATTGTATGCAGGAGTTAAATACTTTCACGCATTACATGACTATTCTATAAATGAAGTTGTCGACGGTACTCGAAGAAATTGAACTTTTTTATACTTCCAACGAATTGCAACTGATTTCCGATACAGTGTCTATTACTTTCTACGTAAATAATTTATTTAAAAGACAATCTCGTCATCACACGTGAACAGATGTAATTTTATTTATTATGCACACTCACGAAACCGTCCATTAATAGTTTTGTAACGTAAAGCAATATTTAAATAAGGTATTCTTAATGAAAACGCTGTTCTGTAATAAATCAATTTTATTATTACAAGTATCACGTGCAAAATTTTATACACTGGCGGAATGATAGACAAAGTCTGTTTAAGCAACAAACAGATTGCTTACGATAACGATAAAAATATATATAAAAATCGTACTGTTAGAGAAGTTGGAATTTCCAGCGTCGCTACAGTCACCCTGTTTCATTATCTCGTTGAGGATATCCGGGTAATTGGAAACACGTTGAATCTGATGAACTTCCATTTGTATATGCTGCGCTTCCTCCTGTGAAAATGAAATCCATTTGCATTTGTTTTCAATACATTTCGTGCAAATCACCAATCCACATGAATTTACGTGTTATCGTGAAATTTTGCGTTATACATTTACAATGTGCGATTATTGCTCTTGGATCGATCAAATTTTTGCGAGGATCAAAACTGAAGCGAAACCGGACCGAAGGAAACGGCGTGTCTACGTAGACCCGGTTATAGTAGTTCACGGTGGCGCAGGAAGGATCCCACGGAAAAGACGTGATTACATGATCTACGAGGTTCGAGAAAGCTTCTCGGAGGAAGAACATTGATGCTTACATATAGGCTTAATTGTCTAAATGAACAGGTCAAAAATGCAGCCATTGAAGCGTACAGTCTTCTTATCAATGGTCGGTCGGCGGTGGACGCGGTGGAAAAAGCAATTGTATATATGGAAAGCAAACCACTTTTTAATTGCGCGAAAGGGGGTTCCTTGGACATTAATGACGAAATTGTGATGGATGCCGGTATGATGACTAGGAAGAATGCTGGATTCGTAGGCGCTGTTCGTGATGTAGAACACCCAATCTCTTTAGGTCTGTTATATTTAACAAAATGAGTGGTATTAATAGATTACTGCATTATTTAAAACGCATTCATACAAATCCGCAGTTTATTTATAAATTCGTTTGATTTTAAATTATCTGTTTAGCGAGGAAAGTGTTAGAGAAAACGGAGCATGTGCTAATCGTTGAAACCGGAGCGCAAAAATTTGCTTTAGATCACGGAATCCCGATTCTACCGCCAGGCAGTTTAAACATATACGAGTCCATGTCGAGTTTCGAACATATTACGTATTGCGTAAACGAAGAAGAATACGAAGGAGGTAGATGGGATGATGACATCTCGGAAAACAAGACAGAGTGCGATTCAGATTGTTTTATAAACCGATCTATGGAGGGTGAAGCCTACCCTTATTGCGTCCAATCCATCGATTCAGATTTATGGGATGATTCGCTAATTTTACAGGTCCATTACTTTTACTTTCTATTGTGAACCAAGAAACTTTTAAATATTTCCATAATTTTGAGAAATATGAAAAAACTTTATCAAGCAAAACTGCTCAGTTTAAAGAAGCCTAAAACCGCATTCCTAACATTTTTGTTCGTAATTGTGGCTAATAGCAATTTCTTAAATTTTCTTTATACATTCTTTAAACAACTAAGTCTTCTACTACCTAAAAACAAATCACGTTGATTAGTTGAAGATTAAAAAAGCTATTGTGAAGTCACGAGCTCATCCTGTATAATATATTATTAAAAAACTTGCCTATATCATTAGGCTGGCGCAGTTGGCGCGGTTGCGTACGATCGAAAAAAGCGTTTCGCAAGCGGTACGTCGACAGCGGGAGAACCGGGCAAGCCGGTTGGCACCGTGAGCGCGATCGGCACTATAATCGGTTGCGGAATTTATACAGACGAACACGGTTCCGTTTCCGTTTCTGGTAACGAATCGAATATCTATTGTTACGCACCAGCCAGGAGAATCGTCAGAAAATTATCGGAGAACAGACCTATATGCAGCGCGGTGAATACGGTGCTACAAGACTTTGAGACGACAACTAAAGAATCTAACATAGGCGCAGCTGCGTTGAACGCGAAGGGTGAACCTTTCGTATCATTTAAATGTATGCACTTCCCTTGGGCCTTCTGCCGGAAGGGCTACGTTTATTACGGATTAGGAAGGCACGAAAAGTATTGGGAAAAATTAACTGTCCTCGAACGACCTTTAGACTGCATGTGCTTAAGCTCCGACGACGAGGAGATCTAATATTAAATTCACTGATAAAAAAAGAACTGTTTTACGCACCGGAAATATAACGCTGCGATTCGAGTCATCGTATGTTCCGTACATAGAAAACGCTGGGGTTTCGCCTTTGAAAGAGTTCCCAAAGAGCTTGTCCATTTCCAGCAGCATTGAATAAATCTCTTCGCGCCTCAGGTCTGTCATGTTCTCGTGTGTTATCACCTAGAAATGATACATGAAATTCTCTTATTTCTGTACAACCGATTTGTAAATAAATAGTTATAACAGTATAATTACCGCGCCTAATGGAGACCAAGTGAGCAAGCACGTTTCCTCTGTATCGACTTCGCTAAAACATAACGTTCGGTACTTTCTGTTCCTCGCTTGACTGCCCCTATTTTGACCTAAATTGCCGTAGCACAATTATGAAATAAAAAGAAGATTGTATTTCAGATTTTTAACACTTTTATGTCAATACAAAAAAATCAAACGAATAAACGTATTCACCAATTTTGCTGTCGATGCTTTTCAAATCGACAAAAGCCACGTCTCCAACGCCAGACATCATACAATCAAAAGCCGCCAGATCTTTTCCTCCGCTTCCATTTACTACAAGTTTCTCTTATTTAATAATCATATGGAAACTGTATCACTTTTTATACGAGTACACACCTTGTTTAGTATAAGCTCGTAATTGACTGGGCATGTCTCCGTCTTTATCGTTTAAACCGAAGACAGAACTCTCAGCAAAGAAATTAGCAACTGCTTGGGTATCCGAGCAATAATTCCCGGCACCTGAGATATTTTTCATAGCGGCGACAAAAGCGTTCCATCCTGTGAAATCGAATAAACGCTGCTCATTGTTAGCAATTAAGTAATAACGTGTAGAATGATCGATTGGAAAAAAAACTTACCGACGTCTCTAAATCCTGTGAAGCAAGCCTTGGCTCCTTTCAGATCTTTCAAGCTTTTGAACCATGAATCTTGCTTTACAACCGCGGCGATTCTAATGAATTCGTTGTTCCTCTTGGGCACCACTTGTGCCATCGTTTTCAAGCCCATTCTGAAACGGTGGTGTGATTTATTGAATCTAATCTCTATTGAATGACTGGTCGTATTTGAATGACTAGGCTCGCAAATAATACTATACGATATAAAACGTTTTTGCTATGCCCACTACGTAATTTTTATGCAGTTTCTCATGCCAAAACCGAGTCCGGAAGCAAAAATACTGATTAAGATTTAGTGAAATTTATTTAATTATTAATAGAGCAAAATGTGCAATTGTAATCTTTACACACTTTTTGACCTCGAGCAGTTCGTCCGGCTTTGCGATAAATATGTCGGCTCGCTCGCTTTTCAGAGCTTTCAAACAGGCTACCCTCCCCAATTCCTGATTACAGGAAATCGCCGGCTCTACCCCGTAGACGATCGAAGCCTCCCTCAGCCATCGACACTTGTTCTCCTCGAGATTCGACGAAACGCACCATCTGACTCTCCGCGACGGGTTACAAGTCGCGCGGCTATTAGCGCTCACGAACCGTGGAACTGCGATTGAACATCGTTACGGAAAGATTAATCTGGGTGATACTCGCGTTGTAATTAATTGTTAATTACATCTTGATAGAAAGTCCGCCGGCGTTTCGAGAGTATCTGTGCTCACCGGCGTCGGATGATAGTTCTCCAACAATTGCCGCAGCATCCAACCGGAACTAGCCGTACGCGTAGAACTCATCACCTTCTCCACTTCCCCTGCTACCTCCCTAATAAAATACGAATATCGTTTGGCAAATTCACTAATGATTTATTATTAATACGTTCTACTAACGATCTAGCGATGACCACTGGCCATGGTTTTGTGATCCATACACACGGTTTCTCGAGCTTCACCGGCCTCGTAGTGCCATCCGGGCAAACGTACTTGTAATCTTCCTTATTGATTCGTTCATCCTAATTTTTGTCATAAAAAGTAGGACTTTTATATTTATCATGCTGCTGGGAATAATTAGTCTCTTGCTAATGAAATGAATTAATCTCCTCTACCTTGAAATGCTCCAAAGTATCGTTTAATCTGACCCAGGCGATGTCACCTGCGTTATCAGTCAGACACATAAGAGCACCTTCTCGACCGTGATACTTATCAGACGAATAACAGCCGACAGGATTATCGCAAGCCGCGCAAAGATTCCTGTACTTCGATTCTACAAGCAACCAGACCGGAATTAAATAATTGCAAATCGTCCTCGCCTGAATTATTCGTGTACCTACTTAGTTTGCTATCAAACGTAGTATCAGCGGACCAAGGTCCAGCTATACACGCCGCCTCGAAGAAATTTGATAATCCAGTCATTTGGTTTCCCAACAACGTTTTCTCTGGGTCGCACTCTCTCACTATTATCCATTTCTCGAAGTACTGTACTCGCAATAAAAGAATGTTATAATAATTCTTTATTTGTTTTATAAGTAAAGAGCAAAATTGACATCCTTTAGAACTGAACAAGCTTTTTAAAATCGAACCAATGATTGAATTTTATAATTAAAGAATACTGCAATTCGTGGATTGAGATTTAAAGAAAAATTAATTATCAATATCTATTATATAATAAAAAATCTGCGATCGTGACTTTTTGCTCTTTACTGATTAAGCAAATTAAAAATGTTAACCGTGGAGAAAGCATTGGTCCAATCGTCGGTGGTATCCAATCCAGGATGGCAAAGCCTTTTCCCTTTAATATCCCATATATTTCTCACGTCCTCCGTAACTATGAATACCATCTCGTATCGTTGCTTCTCTGATGAAGCACGAGATAATTAACGACGTTAGCATCGATTTATCATACGCTGTTAATTGATTAATAGACTACACATGTTCATGCACCTATAGAATTCTACTCATCTATCAAATTATGAATTTGCATGAACATCCGTCGTCTGCTGATAAAATAATTTGTATTGCCGTTCGATTTACTTTGTAATTACCATCTGCGAATAATCTTAGCTCGCTCGTGACTAGAATATTGTATTCGTTGTACGCGGCAGCCGCGACCAGGTCCTCCGGCTCCAACACCGTAAAATCGGCTTTGGCCATGGTCAATCGCCGCAGGCAATCAAACCTGCATAATTCAATTTACGACAAGGATAACCACTGGCGAGAAGCGTAGGAGAAACGAAGATTCAGAAATTCAATGAAAGTTTATTATACTCGCCTATCGTTTCCTATAACGCAATCTATTTGATTCCCTGCGATTAACAATTGCGGGCAGAGCGCACGGATTCTTTTCGACGTGTGGACGCTCTCCACTACGCACAGTTTCACTGAAACGAATTCTTCCCTTTTTCGTTTCTTCAGATTTATAATATTTATAAAAATTGTTATGAACTTTCAAGTTACTTACAGTTTTGAGCATCGATGGCGTGGTGGAAGAACGTAATGAAGAAAATCAGAAGAAGTGATCGGATATCCATCGTAAGAAGTCGATTTTTTCACACAAATTCTTTTACACAATTTATCAAAATTAATACACAGTTATTATGTCACAGATAGCACCCATACATAGGTTTATCACTCAGTTAGAAACGAGATAAATGTTCATTTAGTAAACACATTATCCCAACTCGTAATGTGACTGAAAAAAAATGTTAAACGAGTTTTCTCAGTAATAGAATTAACAATAGGAATTTTTATGAAATTTGGTACACTACTAGGCTGTATTCCCTTTTCCCTTATGATTGAATTCCCTTAATACGGTCTCACGCGCGAGAAGAGGAAAACATTATTCTTCCGCGTAGATATTTCTATAAATACTTGATGAGTTAAATGATGTTAAGCAACAGTATGTTTCATTTATTGATATAATCAATCGTGTTTCCCTGTTACGCCTCCTATTCTACTATACTAATTACACAGTATAACACAGAACTCTTTTTGCAACATCCACTACGTGATTCCTATAGCGATTCTCACGCCGAAAACGAATTTATAATTAGGAATGCTCTATCATGTATCGTTTCGGGAAAATACCGATTTTTCTAAGAGTGTCAATTAAATGTCAAAAAATCATGAATTAAATTAAATTTATTAATTCACATAAAATTGCAATAAATTTAATCATGAATTAAATTAAATTTAATAATCCTATGTATTTAGCTGTTGATATTTCATATTTGTTCACAAGATATATTTTTTATCTTCCTTACATACGTATTTTTTTTTTACAAATGCGTAAACTCCACAGTCTACTAATTATCATTATTCTCACCATTACTCTCATAATCATCATCATTTAAGATTAAAATACTTATCAATTAAACGACTTTTGTTTCATCAATTTTACGTAGCGTAACGCATTTTAATCAATCTACAAAAAGACCGAACCGTAACGTAACACTTAACGCAGTCCCCTTGCCGGTTTCCCTTGTTTATGATCCGATTCAAGAGAAATTACCGAGGGTTAATTAACGCGGCCACAGAAATCGAGGCAATGATCTACCGACGATTGCTCCGGCACACAGAAAGCGATTCAACCGGTGGACCGGTACAAGATTCCTTTGCAAGCATCCTCCGGGCAAACGAAACGCGCGATGACATCATCGATTGTATCTTTCGTCATAACTATACATATACACAGATAGACGGCGGATTTTAAGGAAATCAGTTAAAAAAATTAATTCCAGATTGCTGCGATATGCATTTGTTTTTTATATTTTTATGCATTAAGTGCAACGTTTATACTTATTATATTCAATTGTTTAATATTGGGTTGGCAAGAAAGTAATTTCGATTTTTATAACGCTATGTATTTATGAAAACCGAAATTACTTGTTTAGTAATTCTATAAATGCACAAATTCCGCTAATCTAATCATAATTAATAAACATAGAAAAATGTCTATCAAGCAGAGAATTATTTTTTACGCATCAAAACGAATGTGAAATGAAACCGTTGGAAAACAATGCGTCAGTTTCAACGCGTGTAGCAATGAATTATGAGAAAAAGGTCAGCCGTTTCGAGGAAATGAAATTACGTTCAAGTCTCCATCATATGATGAACAGTAAAGAATATCGTGTATAAAGAAAAAATATGATATATTAAATATGAATAATGTGTCTATGTTTATTCCCTGTTCGACTGTTGTATTCTAATATTTCTTATACTGAACTATGCATATAAATTACGCACTGCTGACGTATGTATAACTATTGACAAATCATTATTTGATCTTAAAAATGTAATACCTGTTTCGTCGAAAATTTAATATCGCACATTTTTCATGGGTTTTATCAAATGTGTATCCAATCACTCACGCTCGATGTATTTTTCTTTAACTACGAATTCATTCAAAAATAACAAAGCAATGAAAGTGATCACTTTATCAATTCTTGGGTGTCGATATCTTTTAACGAGATTCGGAAGCCGGAATAGTTAAACGAGGAACAATACGCAATATTTTGAAGTCTCGCGTCAGCGTGTAACATGCAACTCCACGTAGAGTGAATTAAAACGATACTGGCTGCAGATGCGACCAAAAGTCCGGTAGGGAACTGGAATTATTCACTGAACTGGTGGGGACTCGTGCGTAATATACGCGCTGGTACAGTGAACGATGTTAACGTTCAATTGTAATAAGAATAAAAACCTTTCCCAACCGAATTTCTTCAGCTTGCATAATTAAAATGATGAACAAACTGAGTATTGTTGATGCATACGAGCTCCTTGGTTGCCTAGTAACGTAAGTTCATTTGATGAAAGATAAGTACTGAATTTATTATCGTAGACTCTGGTTTTGGACTTATTTATTCTACATAATATATGGAGTTACGTCACTGTTATATTCGATTAACGAGGATTACAATAAAACTGTAATTATGCCTATAATTATTTTTAAGTCGGGAGTCTAGTTTTGACGAACTTAAGAAATGGATTTAATTCACTTGTTAACTATAAGGAATTTGTACATTTCAATATCCAGTACTATTACTTTACAAAATTGACTATTGTGCGTGATGGATGATCAGAAGATAAGAGTAACTGGACAGTTGATTTATTTCCTTGTACACAGTAGCTCAGCCTCTCATGTTTTTTTAATATCTTCCGCATATTCTCTTGAACAGCATTCTGGCATTTAATGAAAAATCCAGAATACTTTAATTACGAGACAACTGATAGAATCAGCTAAATTAATATACCGTAGCTTCATTGAGATATAATGCAAGATCTAACAAATTGTATTTGCACCTCGTACGTTTCGATACCATCCTCGAGCTTTTCTTGCAATGGCAATTTCTCTGTACGTATCTCCTCGCGAAGGGATCTGAGTCAGCCGACAATTGCTACTGAATTACTTTGTTAATGCCACAATTGTCAGGAACGATGATTGCAAGCGAATTATTATCATTGCTATACAGTATCAGGCCTCATAAAATAGATACACGTTTACTTATCGTTCATCATTATTTGTAATTACTTATACCGAATACCTCTAGTTAAAGCAAACAGCTTGAGAAAATTTAATTCTTTCTTCTTTTCAAACATTCCTCTGATGAAGAAAATTATGCAGCTTAGAATAACGAAGAAAAAGAATTGAAGTCTATAGAATAATTAAAGAGTGTGATGGACGGTTCTTCCTTTATTGAGACTTCTCACTCACAGGTTTATGGAAAGACTTAATTTTACGTTCTTACAAACTATTGTATAAAAGAATATTATAGATAAGTAATATAATTATCGAAAATATAAACTCTGATATATATATATATATATTAATGTATAGACTCTGAATGTAATGAATAACTATCACGCAATATTAATGAACTTTGGTATCAAAGAAACTCGCACGTGCTAGCTAGCAAGGATCTCACATGAGAATAATACTAGGTGAACGCTATAACAAAAGACAGTCCCGAAACTCCTCGCATCCTTTGTGGTGGGAGAGTCGGAACCTGCAAGATCATTAGCTATCCAAATTTCTCCCGTTTCCAATCTGCATATTTGCTCTTTCCTGATTTATGGATAATCGTGAATAATTATTAGGGTAATTTTAAAGTAGGTGACCACTGGCTTTATGTAGCCTCCCTCAGGGGAGGAAAGTAGGGAAAGTGTGAAGGATGACAAGTCCGGAATGAGTAATGGTGACTGGCTATTGATTAGATTAGGGATGAAACAGCTTAGGTACATAAAAAATATTTGCGTGTGTAAAACCACGATTTTTGACGAGTTTGACGAAATAAACACTTGAATTTCTATAACAGGGAGAAAGATAAGAGTCCATTCGACGTTTGAATCTAATCTTAAAATGGAAATTATTTAAGTGATAAACTAGTATTACAAATACTGAGCATTTAGGATATTATCACAAGACTGGTTATTGTTCGTTTCCGGAGATAAATTTAATATATATAGTATGGTTTTCAATAGCGTTATAAAACTTACAGTAAACTATTATCAGTCTCGATTATGTTATCTGGTTCTGACTGAGAGAGCTAGTATTTTTTAACGAAACACTGTTAGCGACAAGCAGCAGGGCATCGCGGCCTCTGTCGACACTACGCGCATGAGCACGCATGAGGGGAATAGTAGTGGGGATCGAAATACGGGCGAAAAACAGGGGAAGCGAGCCTCGAGGGAAAAAATATCTCCACTTCTGACTCTGACATCCCTGATTCTGACATCCCTGATTGTAGTGCCTGATAATGGACGATAAGAGTATTTGTCATTATTACATCGCTGCTTATCTAGAACGCGAATGTGAACCGGTTATACCAGAAATTCTCATAGCGTAATTGATTAATTAAGTGGATGCAGTGAACCGTGAACTTTACAAATTAAAGATTTTCAAGTTCAATCTTGCAAACCTTTATTACCAAGTATACTGATTACTTGTAAATTAGAGTTTACAAATGGTACCTTTAAATAATGTTTGTGCATAATATAATATGTACTTCTCTTTCTTGTTCTAAATCTTGTCTAAATCTACACTTTGATTTTAGGAAGCAAGAGATATTACAAGCTGATACTACTTTAAGGATTTTTACTTACAACAAACTGCATAATATATGTATATATCTTTTATACAATTAACTCGAAGAAAATGAAAATAAAGATAAATTATAGACAGTTGCCTATAAAGGCACATTACTTCTTCTTCATGGCAGGTAACTAATATTTTTTAAAACACACTCGTTTCAAATATCTTAAAAGTTCTTTTGTCATAGCAATGGGTCCGATTCTGCCATTTTTACCAGTTTACGGCAAGGAAATTGGTGTATCGGCATTCGTTATGGGTACTATCACTGCGATTTTACCAATTTTATTCCTGATTGCCAAACCAGCGTTTGGTTTCCTTGTGGACTACTTCTATCCAAAGAGAAAAGCAATATTTATAACACTATTAGGAGCTACAAGTACTTGTTACATTCTCATGTACTTTTTGCCGATACTCCCAGGACCAGTTTTACCAAACCATAGCTTTAATAATATATCCTGTGATCAGATAAAATTCTGTCCACCTAAGGTTATTTTCCATCTTTATTATAAATTGTGTCTAAACGTAACTGAATGTTCTTTCATATCTTCCATTTCAGAACATCGACAAGCCAAATTTATGTACTGGCTTCAAGAATACAAAATGCAATTGGACGTGCACGGATAACAATTTTTCCGTACCTATGCAATTTTATGGAAACAATGAGGAAGCAGATATTTCCTCGAACACGACATGCATAATTGAACTATTAAATAGTACCTCGTATTGCTTTAAAAACAGTACCTGCAACGTTACTTGTGATGAGTTTGAAGACACTTGTTTATACACTTCTATAACATTCTGGGGCTTTGTTTTATTGATGTCCCTTGGCAACATCGGTTTTAATGTCAGCAACTGCATAAGTGATGCTATTTGTTTCGATATATTAGGTAACACAATGTAACGGTCACTTTATATTTTAATTTGTTATGTAAAAATAAAAACTTTATTTTCTTACATGTCTGAATTCTTTTTATAGGCGAAGGTGGTGAAATGGGATATGGTAGACAACGTGTGTGGGGCACTATTGGCTTCGGAATTGCTGCATTGTTAGCTGGCAGTGTAGGAGATCTATGGTCTAAAGAAGGAATTATTGAAACATATACACCTGCGTTTCTATTTGTTTTCGTATTCACCGCCATTGATCTAGTTTGCTGTAATAAATTAGATGTAAGTTTCTCTAATAATATCTGAAATTCATTTTTTATAATCAAAAACCCTTTTTACAGCTACCAAAAATGACAGGATCTGAAAATATATTGAAAGATGTTGTTAAGCTTTTAAAATTGAAATCTATTATTATATTCCTCTGTTTCGCGACGATCGCTGGCATACTTGATAGTTTCATGATCTACTTTTTATTTTGGTACATTTTTATATGAGAATTGAATTTACATTGAAAGAAGTATGAAGAATCAACTAGGAGTTAATTTAAAATATCTCTGACACAGGTATTTAGAAGATCTTGCTATGGCAGTATGGGGTAACATGAATCAAATTAAATTAATCGAAGGTTTGATCGTCGCCGCAGAGACTTTGGGCAGCGAAATAATATTCTTTTCCTTATCCGGTATAGTACTTATTATTTTCATTGTAAAAATATATTTCGTATACAATTTTTACACAAACCATTTTTTAAATAGGTAAAATTCTAAAGAAGCTGGGTTTCGGATATACTTTTACATTCTGTTTCCTGTTTTACGCTCTACGACTTGCATTAATTTCTATAGCACCGAATCCATGGTGGGTGATACTTATAGAACTGTTTATGCAGGGACCGACTTACGCACTTTGCTACACAACAATAGTCGCCTATGCAAGCAAAGTTGCACCACCTGGTACCTCAGCTACCGTGCAAGGGATCGTAGCTGGCATGGATGATGGCTTAGGTAACTGCTATTAAATTTCATATACTTCTCTTATTTTCTATTATGTACTAAAAAATATCAACTGTCCGGGAGACGAATTTTTTTAATATTCTATACTGTTTCAGGTTTTTCAGTTGGTAGTTTTATTGGGGGGATCCTGTACAAATTATATGGAGGTGTAACGACGTTGCGGATATTTTCTTTACTTGCCTTCGTTACTGCATTTATGTACCTCATTTTGTACCGTCTATACTTAAAAGATTTAACGCCAGGTATACTCTCGAACGATCTCGATCCGCGATCATCCGCAACCCGTCTACATTTTTATTACTAAGACTTTTGTTTATTACAGAGACAAAGAGCCACGTGGTATGGAAAACGCCCGAGGAAGCTCAAAAGGAATGTACCGTAGCGGATAATTGACTGAACGAGCATAATAATCAAATATACTTCCAATACAAATGAAAATTGTCGTTTCGAAACACGATGAACAAACACCGATATTATACAAGATATACAATAATAGATAAATACTCCAACAATTAATTTTTAAATACGTGCCAAAAGAAGGAGTATCTTTGATATATCAATATTGAGATCTTAATATACGTTGTTTTGAGCAATGATGTGAAAATTTATTATCGAGGGACCTAAATCATTTCACTTATAACAATTCATATCATTTGTTTCTACATTATAAGACAGAGAATTACAAATTGGAACTGATACTAGCTTTTTATGTTTCCACGACAGTAAGAAAATTTCTGTTTCTTCTTGATCCTCTTAAACCTGCTAGAGTTAGAATATAAATAGATAAAAATAACTATATATATAATAATTCGAGCGAAGCATCGGTTGAGTGATATTAATGCTAAGTCATACTTTTATATTTTACAAAACGGAAACATTACTTCAGAACAAAGATCTTTTAAAATTATTATCGTTCGAGATAACTGTCTTAACAGCAGTAAATATCAAAGATAAGATTAAATTTTAATATTGATATGTCAAATGCTAGTCATGAGAATTAGAGCTTTACAATTTTTAAATGTAGTTCTTATTTTGATAAATATTTTTTATTGTACTTACATACAAATAAAAATTTAACAGAGCACTGTTATTAAGATCCTAGGAACCTAGGATCATTAATCATATCAAAATAGCTAACTCCAAGCTTTGCTTGCAACATTTTAATAAATACTTTGTACGAATAAACCTTTATACTCTTTTATATGTAAGTTGTTTAATTGATTACTAAAAAATTTATCCCTGTTGAATTGAATATGACTGCAAAGCTGTTCTTTGAGATAAAAGGCAGAAAAATGATATACAGGTACATATTTCAACATCTTTCCTCTGTGAACATTTATTTCCATTTTATAATAAACGTTATAATTTGTTTGCAGTTTTATTTCATGGGCACAAAGAGAAGCCTCGTTTATTCTCTAAATTTTGATAGTAGTCATTTGTACTGCGTACTTATCGATGTTTGGTTCAATTCAAATTCTCGGAACATTCCTATAAGGCATTTAATTACAAGAACATATTCTACACTAAAGAATAGATTTATATTCTATAATAAACTGTAATCCGATTGGAAACTAATTTTATTATGCAAAATAAAATCTACAAACAAACGAAACGACTCTGTATCATCCAAAATAATGGAAAATTTTTCTTGCAGATTAAAAATGTCATCATTAACACTTTATTATGTTAACAAACAGTAATTTATCCTCGACTCTTTTTTAAACACAATCATTATAAAATCTAAAAGACTTGTGATTCACCATATTTCATCTATAAACTCTTTAATAGACTGTACCACTTTAAATAGAATTCTATCTGTGTTACAAAAAGAAAACATTTTAAAACAATAGTACGTACGTAAAAATAAATATATATATATATATAGATAGATATATATATATTTAAAAAAATTGACAAAATGTATTTGTTCTTACACCGTTTCTTAAAGTGACTATAAATAAAGACTTGGATAAACTCAGGCATTATATGCTACGAAATCCAGACCCAAAATTAAGTAATTGTGTTAAGTAACATTATACAATTATTTGCATTCCACCGAATTGCGAGTAGTCTTATCAAAGCGTTGTTCTGATCATGTAATTTAAGATACCACCGTGTTTGAAATACGTTATATCTACGTCGGTGTCGAATCTAACAAGCACTTCGAACTTTTTTCCATCGTCAGTAGTAACGGTAATGTTTTGTCCTGGCTGACAATTTTCGGGGAAATTTATGTCGTACAATTCGTAGCCGGTCAATCCTAAGGACTCCGCGTTTTGGCCAGGTAGATATTGCAGAGGGATAATACCCATACCTACCAAGTTCGACCTGAAAAACAACGACAATAAAATGTCAAAGATATTTTTAAAAAGTTCCAAGGTTTGTCTGCAATCGTACAAATAAATGTTACCTGTGTATTCTTTCGTATGACTCAGCTATAACTGCTCGAATCCCAAGGAGATACGGTCCTTTCGCGGCCCAATCTCGTGAAGATCCTGACCCGTATTCTTTCCCGACAAGAATTATTAAAGGCGTCTGGGTCTTCGCATACTTTTCAGCTGCGTCGAAAACGTCCATCTATGGAAAGCACGATTATATTCGAAATTATTTTACATGCTAATCACTTTTAACTTGGTTACAAACCTCTTCGTTAGTGGGAATGTGAATTGTTCGTGGTCCTGCTTTTTTAAGGAACTTGTTCACTAAACGAATATTAGCAAACGTGCCTCGTACCATCACGGCATCGTTACCTCTGCGCGAACCATACGAGTTGAACTCTTTCGGAGTCAGTCTAATTGTAAACGTAAAAGGAATAGACTTGTATTAATATAAGTCGTAATGCTAACAGTACACTCTCGTCAAGACGCTCGCCGAGATTCGTGAAACAAGCCGAAACGGGCTCTCGCGCTCCATTGTTCTCGTGTTACCGCGACGAGAGTGTTCTGCTGGCGTAAAAACAGATCACGTTTGAAGAAGCGAAATGAATAAGAAATGAAAGTGAACTTAAAACGTACCCTCGATTGTTGAGATAGCGCGCCGCAGCAGAATTGCGGGCGATGCTACCAGCTGGGCTAATATGATCTGTCGTGACGGAGTCACCAAGGTTTAAAAGAACACGCGCTTTGATGATAGGTTTCAATGTCGGTAACTCCTAATTATGAAACAGTAAAAGTAATGATTTAAACGACTTAAAAATATAATAATCTATGATGTATATACCTTTTGCAAATTTTCGAAATATGGTGGATTCTTTATGTACGTGGATTCTGTATCCCAAGGGTACAGTTTACCCTCCGGAGCCACTAATTTAGCCCAGCTATCACTACCCCTTTCAATCTTGCTATAAACTTCTTTGAACATAGCCGGAATCACGTACTTTTGTTCTACAGCTTGAATTTCCGACCTGGTAGGCCATATATCTTGGAGGTAAACGGGAGTCCCATCCGGTCGATGACCTAATCACGAGCAACGATATGATTCATTAAGATCATTTGCATTATTCATTATACATGATTTTAAATTTGTACTTCAAGTCAAATTACTCATTTACCAAGTGGTTCCTTCTGGAAATCTATGTCTACCGTTCCCGCTATCGCGTATGCGATCACTAATAGCGGCGACGCCAGATAATTAGCCCGCGTGTTCGGATGAATTCTACCTTCGAAATTGCGATTGCCGGATAACACACCGCAACATACTAGTCCATTCTGAAAATGATTTTACATGAATCACATTTATTCGATTATTTCTCAATGTTAGTTTTCGTCAATATCAGTTTAACGTTTTACCTTTTCGATCGCTTCGACTATAACATCTGGAAGGGGTCCGCTGTTCCCGATACAGGTCATACATCCATAACCGACAACTTCAAATCCTAATTTTGTTAAATATGGGACGACACCGCTTTCCTTTAAATAATAAGTAACAACTCCAGACCCCGGGGATAATGATGTTTTGATGTAACACTGGACGCTCAAACCAGCTTCAACGGCTTTTTTTGCAAGGAGACCTGGAATTATGCGATATTATTAACAAAATTCGAAATTTTCATAAATCATTTTGCTGCTTGAATTTTAAGAAAGGTAAGCCTAGGGAAAGTAGACAAAGAGAGTTACCTGCTCCAAGCATAACGCTAGGGTTGCTAGTGTTAGTGCAACTGGTAATTGCGGCAATAACCACGGAACCGTGCTTAAGTTTATAATCCCTTCCTCCGTATTCAAACATAGCTACGGTGTTTATCTTCTCGGGAGACAAACCGTACCCCTTAAATCCTACCTGGAAATAAGCGTCGTCGTAATAAATCATCTTTCCCCAATACAAAATACAGACAGCGGTTGAAAACTTTTGTAACATCAGTTTAGAACGTGCATTATATAAAGACATTTCCTTCACAATTTAATCATTGCAATTTCGTATACGGAATCTTTAAATTTTGTTATACGAATTAAATTATTTGCGAATGCATAAAATCCTCATTGCATTAATGAATTTCCTGTACAACCACATATCTGTGCCTCCTATTTCTTACATCCCTATTATTTATATCTTTTTTTTAATCGATAAAATCAGGAATCTATTTTTTGTTATCAGTAATTTCTAGCAGTTCGTTGAAGTTTAATGACCCTCGCGAGTATGAATGACCCTATCGCACGTAGAATTCATTGTCCAACGAATAAATCGCTGAAGAAGCATTCTCCTACTATGAAACAGCGATTCTCCACATTTGTTTCGACATTCGTCTTCATATCTAACATAAAAACTTTCCATCTTAATATAATAGTATCTGACTCGTTCCTTAAATATTTTTCACACGCATTCCGAGTTTCTCTGTAAACGTGCGTTATTGTGTCTCCGGATATTTCCACTGATAAAGATACATATTTCTGTTAATGTAATGGAATACATTTGGAGACCGATAAACAAGGTAATAATAAAGCGTCCGAAAATTTAGTTGTACAAATTTTCTTTTAACGAGCCTTCCCGTTATACTGCGATAGTAATTTCTTATACCTCCCCCAAAGGTAGGCTTAAAGTCGATGGTCAAACGACTAAGGATGCCTGTCCCCGACAATTATCCCGACGCCGTCATTGTTCCAGGTTTTCCTCACGGCTAAGGATTTACTTTTACAAATTCTATCCCCAAACAGTTACCTTCCCTTTCTTTCAATTCTCGGCAACGAGAAATAATTTAAGAGGGTACAGCTTGGTACCGAGTGTCAGCGAAAATGTTCGCTGTTCCTCGAAAATTTATAAGCCCCGTCTACAGGCGTGAAAAGGAGATTTTTAAAAATAATTCTAGCGATGAATAAGACCGATCGTTTGAAATATAATTCAAGGCGAGCATCCGTATGTAAAAGACGATGGTATGCAACAAAATGCGTGAGCTTTGCAAAATGAATGGATGTTGTATCAGCAATTTGAGCGAGGTTGCACGGCGTTCGTGGCCTCATCGAAGAACAGTCGCTCGTTCTCTCCGCGAAATTCAAGATCGATCGATCGTTGGTACGTATAAAATAATTTCTTCATCGGGAGATCAACGGAAATTGCGAATTATCGTATGTCTATGTAGAATTAGTTTGAAAGCATTCATTGCAGAAGAAAATGTTGATAAATGTCTCACTCCTTTCTTATATCATGACTACACCATTTCTTTTCATGTTACAATCAACGATTCTTTTCTTATATCGCGATCAATAATTTATGTAGCATTCCCTGCATCAAAGGTATTGTAATTTAATCTGAATTTTTAAAGCTGTCCTTAAACGTATTCCAATCACTAGGATTTGCTGCATTTTTAATAATTGAGAAGACAATTCTGTTACTGAATTTTTATATTTAAATGATCTCCATGGAATTGTATAAATTGTTCATATGTGCAGAAAAAGAGAATTCCTTGAGCTTTCTAACGAAAAGCCAGTCTCATTGCGGCAGAGTAAAAAAATCAACGATAAAGGGCGTTGAATTTCATGGCACGGAGGAACAGTCAGCTTTCTATGATTCACGTGGATGAGTTTTCAGCAAATGTCCTTGCTGTGATAGCATAGTAACGCGATTCCGATGTTGAACATCTTTCAATAGAAATCGATCGGTACCGTGTTTTTAAAATCACGCGGCTCCGTTGTTGCTTCATCGAGTTCGCACGATTATCGTTATACCGTTTTTAACAAATATTTATAATTTGACTGCCGTTCCCTTATTAAAATATGCTAATCTAAAACATAGAATCTATTTGTTTCTAGCTGTACGTGTAACCGTTATTCATTGGAACTGTGGGGAGACTGTTTACAAATATTATATACGACTTCGAAAAGATATTCAAATTTCTTACAGTAAAATCATTGAGACTGAATAACACCGGCACATGAAATCAAGCAAAACCAAGCTTTCGAACTGAACAGGCTTATTTAATTTTGAATTTAATACGTCAACTTATTTAATTAAACCTTTGGCAGTTAGTTTCTGTACATTGGTGAAGGAATGCAAATTATTCAGAGAAGATACCAATGTAAACAATGAATGTCTCATTGCTCCCTTCACAACAAGAGATAAAGGCGTTGAATCTGTGTGATTTGTGGCGATTCGTGTAAAACCAAATTCGTAATTTCATCGCAGACAAAGAGTGAGTAACAAATGGGGGTGAAAATGGTTATAGGGGGCAAGAGAAAAGTCCTTGCACGTCGGGGGAGGATCCTGGGACATCCATTGAAACTCCACTGGCAGATATTCAGGTAACGAACACTCGTCCCCGATCAGTGGAGGGGGTAGGTCTTAGGGCCTCTATAAAAACGGCACGAGGAGCGCAGAAGGTTCACTGTGCACTTAGCAAGTACGAGGAGTCGAACGTTCGAATTCAAACAACGGTACGGTTTCGTTCGTCAGTCTCACAGTTCGGGAACAGTTTCTCTTCTACCTACGTCGGAAATAGTTATAGTTTTCTCAGTGAGTTCAACTTTTCACGTGACTATCGAGGAAGCCATGGGTCAAGGAGTTCTATTTGGTGGCTGCTGTCGGATGCAATCTTGCCCGGTGCGGTTGAAATAGAAACCTCACCGGGTAGGATTCGTCCAATGTCCGCTACCGCTTTTCTACTCATCAAGACACGTTCTGCCCGCCTGAAACGACCGTTTCTTGTTTAGAGGACGAAGTATTCGTCTAGTGTAACGTTGTAACGACTTCGTGACTAGATCGAAATACTCGTCCTCTTTAACACGGAATTCATCAGCTACGAAGACACGGATCTACCATCATTCAACTACGAAATCATTCTAACGTCCCGTTTATTTTTCTTTGGTGATCTAACTGTATGATGAAGAAAATGATCATAAAGCTAGATCAGCAAGGCAAAATGTGCGAGACATAGCCACACGGAACGGAACCAGGGAGGACGGTGACTCTTCTTCAACGGACGTGGTAACTAAACATTTCTTGAAACGTTTCAATGTCTCGCTTTTGAACACGCAAAATCATCGCTTCAAAGTTCTGGACAAAAGAATCCAAAGGAACTTCTGTTGTGATGTGTTACCTATAAAAGCTTCATATCACAGCAGTAGTTACCTGGGATTCATTTGTAACCGTTCACCATTATCCGGACATCGCAGCAAGCACGCACCACGCTTTGAAACAGCACACGCAGGGAACCATGCACTTGGCATTCAAGAGTATAGAATGGGATAAACATAATTCTGGTTGACGCTAGTTATCGGTCGTCACTGGGTTTTGTTTGTCCCATGCGAATACTGACTAATCATCGCCATTGCATGCTCATCACACGCTAACGCACGGCGAATCCTTTGTGAATCAGGACACGAGATTACCAATAGGTTTTACAAACACGTGTATTAATAATAAATGAATAAATAATTTTGTATTACCGTTATAAATTTTCTTACCTTGTTAGTAAGGCAGTTACGGAAGTCTTGTTTCATGTCGGTGACTGAAACGCGATCGTGAGGTCTTTTAGGTCCGCTAACGCTGGAGACCACAGTTCCTAAATCCAAAGTAACGATTTCGGAGAAGACTGGATCTTGGCTCGGATCATCGTAATTTCTCAGCATACGAACGGCGGTGAGATACTTCTCAATTTTCTCAATATGTTCATTGGATCGTCCTGTAAGATAATAATATCTATAATAATAGATGGATCGTACTTAATCGTTGCTAAATAATTCGGGAGAAAATCTATCAATATTATATAAATGTATGTTTCGTTTATTCAGTTTATATACCTGTTTGCTTTAAGTATCCTAAACTCTGTTTGTCAACAGGGAAAAAACCGATCGTGGCACCATACTCCGGGCACATATTCGATATTGTCGCGCGATCTGCGATGCTCAGTTGAGATACGCCTGAACCGAAGAATTCCACAAATTTCCCAACGACCCCGATTTGTCGTAGATTCTGAAAGTAAATTGCGCTCGAGTAATTCGTCACAATTTTTACGTTTCTAAATATCTACCTTTGTAATGGTAAGAACTAGATCTGTTGAAGTAGCATATTGATTCAGAGTTCCCTCTAATTTGTATCCGACTACTTTTGGCACTAACATTGACATCGCTTGTCCTAACATAACGGCTTCAGCTTCGATTCCTCCTACACCCCATCCAAGCACGCCAAGACCGTTGATCATGGTCGTATGAGAGTCTGTACCCACCACGCTGTCAGGGTACAGCAAGTCATTAGAATCGAACACCACCCTAGCTAAATATTCCAAGTTCACTTGATGTATTATGCCGCTTCCCGGTGGTATGATCAACATATTTTGAAACGCCTTTGCACCCCATTTCAAGAACATAAATCTCTCTTTGTTCCTGTCGAATTCGAGGTCTTCATTTTTCTTCAAAGCATCGGTGCTAAAGAAACAAAAAATCGTATTATTATTACGTATTAAGTACGTTACGTATATTAACTTGATTGCTCAATGAAAATTATCTCTGTTTTAAATGTTCTACTCAAGGATAACAAAGATCAACCAAAACTCGCGCTATATTATGTAATCTCAGTCTAATTTAGAATTATCTCATTTACGTGATAAGTACTCTATACGCTTTCACTTTATGATGAAGATGTAAAAATAGCAATTATTTACCCTTTATAAAAATCAACTTGTATTGAGTGGTCAATAACAAGATCCGACGGACAGATAGGGTTTATCTTATCTGGATCACCTTCTAGTCTTTTCACAGCATCTCTCATAGCTGCGAAATCTACAACTGCCGGTACTCCAGTGAAATCCTGTTGGAAATGAAATTTACAATTAGATTACGCGATATTTATCAAATTTGACGAAGTACTTACCTGTAGTATTACCCTGGCTGGTTTAAAATTTAAGTCCGTTCCATCTTCAAGAGTCTGGGTTGTTTCCCAGTTCAACAGTTTCTCGACATCAGACTTTTTCACGTTGAATTCGTCACAATTCCTAATTGCACTCTCCAGAAGTACTCTGATCGAGAAGGGTAATCTGTCTGCAAAGATTGTTTATCTCAAAATCTCAATATCAAATCTGATTCTTTTATATGTCACATATAGACTGCGGGTTTCTATGCAAAATAAACTATTTATTGTATCAGTTTTAAAAATGTGTCTTATGTTTAAATATTGTAATATGCTCTTTGCATTTGGTATCTGTATACTTTTATTTTTATGTTTTTTGTACATACAATTTTCTCATGAATGCACAAAATCCGTAGTCTAATCATGCGATATATATGTTCAATACTTTTTACGTACCATATTTTCCTCCGACATTTGTTATATCATAATATTTGTACTCCTTGGATCCAATTTGAATGGGCTTGATTAAATGCTTGTACGGATTTTCCGCTGATAGTAAAATTGAGTAAATCAGAATGTTATTTAAAGCAAAATGTAATTAATGGAGATGATAATGCACATATGATCATAAAACGTATGCATATAAATTTTTAATGATCACGAACTACTATCATCTGCTTCATGAAAGGGGACTACTAATAAATAGAAACGTGTAACATATTTGTATTATATTAACTTGTGAATGCATACGTATAAAACTGTGTAATTCTCGCATTTTTAATGACGTTAGACGTAAGAGTTTCAATATCATTTTGATAGAAGCCAATGAATGGAAAATACATTTGTGTAAGACAGTTGTCAAATGTAACAGGTGTCATAATTAAGTATATTAAGAGTCGCAATCAATGTCACGTCGCGCTTCGGACTTGAAACAAATTCATATTTGAGTTTACTTGTCGGGATGAGAATTAATTTAACAGTGGTACGCGTTGTCATGAAAATGTGCAATCAAAAACGTTTTATTTCTCCGGTGAATTCGTAAATCAGGACAATGAAATAATTTTATGCAAATTTAATAGGATAACGAATTGAGCAAAATTCTCGGTTCCCAATGCGAGTAGCATTGAATTAAGGTCGTCGATACGAGCTGACATTATTTATTTCGTTCAATTTTCGTAAATACATTGAAAATAATGGGAGCAAGTAAAACAGACCTGCACACTTACCAGCCATGATTGGTACTGTAGCAGTCACGTCGTCCAGTTCGCTTACGAAGTGATATTATTTATACAGGGTGACAACAATATGCATGCGGAAACATCATGTAATAATATGTAACAATTAATCTAATAAAAGATACCTAATCACATGGAAGTCATTTATTACCATTAAACCACGGATCTTATGCATTTACAGAAAAATGAGAGTAGTGTAAATACAAGAATATATGTAGAAGTTTGTACAATATCAAAAGAAGTATACATCGTAGAATTTAGATTATTTTAATTGACATTATACGTGTTTTATTTTGCATAGAAATCCGCAGTTTAATTAGAGCGTTACCCCTTTTATAATAAATGAAGTTTTCTGATGTCTCAATTAAAAAGGAATACTTTTACAACACCCTTTAAAGAATTCGCGAGCCAGTGCGAGATATATCGAATCATTCGATTCATGATTAACTTGTTGCGGCAAAGTCCGATTTTAGAAACATATACACAATGATATAAAACTGTGCGACTCTAAATACGTCAAACTCATCTAATTTTCATAATTAATTAGAATTACAGTTGAGTTTACTGCTGAATTGCAAATTAAATAGAACGTTAAAATGGAAAGGAACTTAGAAAAGACATTGGATGACGTGTAAGTTTTAATAATAATATAAATTTTATACTGAACGTCTGATGATTTGGTTATCCTCGTTCGTGTTTGTATTAGTAGCCTCAATGCAAATTTTTTGTTTAGTAAATGCGTCAACGCATTGGTAAGGGAACAGAAGTCATATAAATCAATTTTAACCTCGAACTTTTCCCAGATTTCTTATTCATTTATTCATATTCGCTTAATAGCAATATTAGAATTGAAATACGTGTCAAAATTTTTGTATGAATGAATTGTCATAATTAATTACAATTAAGGTTTAGTTTACTGCTGAATACCTTTTGCAAATTAAATAGAACGTTAAAATGGAAAACAATTTAGAAAAGACATTGGATAATACGTAAGTCTTAGTATCCTTGTTTGTATCTCTATTAGCAGTTTTAATGCAAATGTTTTATGTATATCAGTATGCTTATATATTATGCATATTGATAAGGAGATAAGAGTACTTAGTATGATTCACCTTTAATCTTGAACTTTTCTCAAATATCTTATTCGTTTGATAACGATATTTATATTTAAATATGTACCAAAGTGTTTGTAACAATGAGTTGCAATATTTATGTATTCAGAAATGTCGGATTGACAAAATGCTTGACAACGCAGCTAAATAAAACAACAACTTAAATCATTATGAAATTATAGTAAATGTCCCAATTTATATTCAACTTATAGTTTGTACTCATTGACTTAAGTTTGTTTATGTAATTGTAAAAGAAAATGGCAATGAGTAGAAATAGTGACACAAAATAGGGACATTTGGATATGAATTGAATTTGTATATATCAGATTGAAAGATATCTCGCATTGTTTTATAGGAATAACACTGAGAGTATCATTGGTTGCATTTTAGCTGATCATGCTGGATTGTGCTTAGGAGGTATATATTAGGAGGTATTTTATATTGAAATGACATTATCTAAAGAAATGAGTGTTAATCGATATATTCTAAATAGTTAAAGGAAATGCGTCGACTGAAAGTGCTGGAATAATTGCAGCTATCGCAGATCAAGTAGCAAAACTAGAACCCAAATCACCAGCTCCGATTATTTCTCTGCAGAACGAGAACAGGTGAATGTTATATTTTATTCTGCACTTAATTAGATTAATATACAAGATCATTAACAAACGAATTTATTACACAAGCCTGAAATATATCTTTAAAGCTCAACATTTCATTAAACTATAAATACAAAGGGGAAACATCATAAATTATTTTGTAGGAAATGCCTTATACAACGTGAGGGTGCGGTAGTAGGTGCAATTTATAAGAATGTTTCCGTGTGAAATATGTCTCCTGACTCGAACTGATAATACTGGTTATACTTAAGTTAAACATGTCATTACTTGTGTGCATATAAAAACTTCCAATAAGTAATTTAATGCATTTTCATTTTAAATAGAACAACTTGTACTTGAGTTTGATTGTAACAGTGTAGAAAATACATCTGTAACTATTAAATTTTATAAGATTCACAGAAGATTTGCATTGCGGCACCTTTGTAGATAATTTATATGTAAATATTAATAAATCATTATTAAAAATATATTTAAGGTCAGTCACTTTTTCTATGTCTATTTCTTCTCTCGTACCACTTATTTGTACCAAGTCTAATTAAGTCATGATGCTCGTATATCCATGATACAAATACTATCGAGAACATTATCATCCCAATAATTAAATGTAATACTTTTTCGTCTGGGAAAAAGTAGGCCTGTAACAGAAAAATTGTTAATTTCCTCGCATTGATACATAAAGGAATCGTAAGATGTTATTCTTTTACATGAGATATGTTGGTGACCAACGCTGTTATTAGAAGAGAGGCAGAAAACATAGGCTTTGGCACTAGTCCTCTTAATGGACGGTACATCGTATCTTTGTATCGTTTATTGATAAAAATAGTTGAATGTAGGATTCTCAAGCTCATGTTTACACAGTTTCCAAATATGAAACCAACAGGTCCAAACCAGATAGCGAACAAGTATGATGCACAGAGGAAAGCTATCGACTCGTAAATCATGATCAAGTTGCTCTTGTTTATCGTTGCACTATCAGCTGTTGCATTCGTGTAACATTCGGTTACCCCATTTATACCCAAAAGTAGGATTGCCAAGCAATGCGCTCGCATTAGAAGTACGGGTAGATGCGAAGTTAATTTAACGCCACCGTACAACCATAATAGAGTGCTAGAATATGATTGTCCGAATACTAAAACAACTAAACCGATCGATGTAACAGCTGAACACAAATGTGCGAGAACGTTCACGCTCTCTTGAATTTTGACCTAAAATACAAGTTTCCTTTTTTTATTCAATCACGACAATTTAATATACTTCTGTATGTATTTTTCATTTACAGTAAAGCACAAAGATTGTTAGTTCAGTTTTGCACTTTCCTGTACTACTTACAGGATTTTGGTCGTTTATCGGTTTATCCCGTTTCACCATTTGGGTGAAATAGAAGTATCCACTTTCCTCTATTGGACGGAAAATAAATCTTGCCGCTAAAGAACCTAAATTATTTACGATTTCGTATGTTCCCTTAAAAATACATAGGAATAAACGAGATCAGATCTAAAAGTATCAATGAATAACATATATTTTGTCATAAATTATATACCTGTTCAGTGAATGTCAATACTGGCATTACCGTCATAATTAATCTTTCTCCTTCAGTTAAAACTTGCTTCAAAATTCCTTGTCTAAAGAAACTCCATGTAAGGATAGTTAATTTTTTATCTAGATATGATTCCTAAAATGTAACAATTTTTATACGCGACGTACTAAACACGTATCATATAATACGTACTTTATTCACCAATTGTCCAGGTAGAAAATCCTTTACTGTTTTAAATGGGAATTCTCTCACCACATATTCCTCGCTATTGTCTTTTAATGACATTCTTCTCTTTAACTTACATTTGTTTAGTTTTTCAATATAACGATAAAAGTATAAATAGTGACTTGTAGTGTAAAATATTGCAGCAACTAGTTGAGCCACACCAAATGCTAATAATGCGTTTTCTGGATTATGAAGCACCAGTGGAACAAATGTTATAGTACGAATTGCGATCATGATAGTATCAAGTATAATCTAAAAATAATGAAATGATTAAAGAAATGCTTGAAACTGAATTAAAGTATTCTTAAATTGTAATATCTTACTTTCAACCTAACAAATAAAAATGCACTGGCAACCAGTTGAACAATCAAAGACGATAATTCAATAATACAGGACAAGGCAACTGCCCAAACTGCAAACGTGTAATACGATGGTAAAGCTTCGGACGCTGATAAAACAAAAAGCCAAATATATCCAAACGTTAAGGACATTATAAAACATATAGGAACCCTAAAAAACATTTACAGTTTATGTACCCTTGTGAAATTATATTTATCTAAAATTTCATGATTAATTTGAAGGACTAACGTCATCCACAATAAATTTACAACTTGTGCCCAATTATGTTCTGCTGTGTTAGTTAAACATGCTTTCATAAATGGTTCTCGAGATAAAAACAGGATCATTGACTCTAGTAATAGTAGCCTCACATTTATCACTCCTAAAACTGCTTGACCCACATGTCGAACAACGAAAGCATTTAAAACGAAAGTAACTCCTCTGCATAATATCTAAAAACAGGGACATCATGTTGTACGTTTGTCTCAATCTTCTTTACAGTTTATATTTATAAAAGCGTATCTAGTGTGATGTAAGTTTCTTTACAAATATTGTTTGAGCTATTCTAGTTTTTACACTTGCTAACGTAACGTAGTATATAATACCTGAAATATAATATTGAAGGAAGCATTCTCCAAGCTGCTCTTCAAAATACTTTGGGACATTTTCTTGGACGATCAAGTAGAAATATAAATATTTCGAGATTCCCGCCCAAAGGGGTGTCAATAAAATTCTAGGTTATGTGAACAGTTTTAACAATACCTAAAACATTTATGCTGATATCATTTTTCGGAAATTTCCATTGCGCCCGAAATTAATCGTAGATACATAGTAAACGCAAAAGCCAAGAATTTCTTCGTACTGTATGAAACGGATTTCATGACGTAATTGTGTGAATTTTATATATGTGTATCATGTCTAGTAATTTTTTGTCATACGTCTTCATCTATTCTTGCTAGTGGGAAACTGTTTTAAAAACAAAAGCTTTTCCTAACATCAAAGATCGTAATAATAATTATGTCGTAAACCTCAACAAGTGAGATAAGGTTAGGTCCCCCTAACAGACTGTCACTGTCACAGCAACGCGCGATCAAAACATCAAAACTCCTATCTGCTTCTATCCAAAGTACAAAACGATTATTTATCTTGTGAAGTGATACCATTATGTAATAATGTTGCACGTGGTTGTCTTGTTTCTTACTGTTACTTCATACGACGGTCGTGCATATGTAAAATAGTATTAAATTATTAAAACTGAATACTATTTCAAATGATTACTGTGATTATTTTATGTGACAACATCGTTTTATAATGTTTATAAATTCTCAATTAAACAATGATTCTCAATTTGTCAATTAAAACGAAACGCCGGATGAAATCGTGAGCTAAATTTCAAGCCGTACAATCACTCTTCAACAATATTAATGTAGTTAAAAGATACTATATGTTAAGAGATGTTGAGCGAAAAAAATACAAATGACTTGTGTAAAACCGATATTGTCCTCACATCACTTATCGTAAGTAAATTAATTTCTCTCAAAAAACATTTTCTTACACGATCGATTAATACGCATGCTTCAATACTATACTCGAAGATTTCGTAGATTACTATGCATCACGTAAGAGGAGCATGGAAATGATCCCACGAATTTTATTTAAAACCTAAATACATAATGTATTCCAATCTATTTTGTATTCCTATACAAATTGTTGTATTGCTGATTTAATAGTAGATTATTTGTACAACTTTTTTTGAATAAAAATGTAAAGAAAACTCAAATACATATTTTTCTTCACAAAGAATTATGCGTTTACTATGTTTATTGCATAATCCTTAAATGGCAATTGGAATTATTATCAGTAAAGAATAGAACAGATTTTTTTTATTAAACAATAAGCTGCCTAAACAGACGTGTTCGTAAGAGAAAAATAATTTAAAACTCACTGTAGTCAGGTGCTTTCGCAGCAACCCTTTGTGACTTCCTATCTTTTCCTCTGGATACGATTAAAACACGATTACAAAGCCAAAGTGGTTTTATGAAATCCGGCGGATTTAGAAATCTATACAATGGTTTAGCTCCTGTAATGATGGGGACAGGACCAACGGGTAAATTTCAATCAAAAACTGAATTTGTAAACATTTACCAATTTTTAATTAACTAGATAATTTTTTGCAGCTGTTTTATTTTTTATGACTTACGAAGGTCTAAAAGTAGTGACCGAACCTAATGTACCTGAGCAATATCATTCTTTAATTCATATAACAGGCGCATCAATAGGAGAAGTGGTAATTCATATGTCTACTCATAATGATAATCAATTTGCATAATTATGTATCGTCTTGTTGTATTACAATTTTTTTTCCAATCATAAAATCGATATTCTGTCATTTAAAGGACTTTCTAAAATTATTGATAGGCTGCATGCATTATTCGAGTCCCAGTAGAAGTAGTGAAACAAAGGAGACAAGCGTTTATAGCAGATAATGAAAAATTGGGATTAAAAACGTTGTACCGTGGCTTCGGAAGCACTGTGATGCGAGATATGCCGTTCTGCTTCATTCAGATGCCACTTTGGGAATTTTTTAAACTTAAATGGAAAACCGCCGTTGGTCGCGAAGTCACACCTGTGGAAGGTGCTATCTGCGGGGCGGTATCAGGTAGACTTACTCCAAATATTGACGTACATGATATCACCGAGGAGATACTTATAAGTATCTCCTCGGTGGTGATATTTAGCACGATTTAAATTATTTTTATTATTTGTATTATAGTCGCTATATCCGCGACTCTAACGAATCCTTTAGACGTTGCGAAAACTAGAATAATGTTATCGAGTACAACGGTGGGCAAAGATGAAACGAGAATTTCCGTAATGCTAAATAGGGTTTATCGAGAATACGGCATTAAAGGGTATGAATATGTGACTACGTTCTTTCTCCTATTGCGCAAACATTAATTGACGAAATATTTCCAGACTCTTCGCAGGCTTTTTACCAAGAGTCGGTGGTTTCACTCTCAGCGGTTTTATGTTTTTCGGTGTCTACGAGAAAGTTAGAGAACTTTGTGTATCAATTTTATCAACTTAATCAGACGATGTGTCAATAAATATAAAATAACAAACAATATCTTGTCGTACGTGCTACTATTGTATAGCCCAAGTGGACAAATAGTTTAGATAAATGGTAGTACTATATATACTATAAGAAGTTTATATACTGTTGACTCTTATCGATAAGGTACTCATAAAGAGATTTTTACTTGATACATCATAGCAATTCTTATTACAGATCTCAAGGAGAACAAAGAACTTGCTTGTGCAATACAACAAAATGAAAAGATACATACACCATCTTGCTATTAATATTAATAGTAAAACGTGCTACAGTCTTCTATAAGAAGCTTTGACTTCTTATTGACATAATCAAAAATTATTACTTACTTACTTTTTGAAGTATCTTTTTACGTATATCCCAATTAATAAATATTTCAAGAAAAAAATTCGACGTATATCGAAGGAATGTAAAATATAATGTATATTTAAAAAT